GGGAGGGGCACAGGTTTTTTTCAGTTTTTCTTTTTTCCCCCTCGATTTGACATGTGTTAGATGCTGATTGGCGCATGTAAGAGAAATCTTTAAGCAGATGTGGTTAAACATCGAAGTGGTGTGTAATTGACACGCCTTTAAAAGTTTTGGTGTATAATATTATTCCCGTATTTAAGAGGTGTGTAAGAGGGATTTGGGGACAAAGACGATGGGTAAAGTATGTATTTTGCCCATTAGTAATGATGGAATTAGTAATGCTGGCATTAGTTATGCCAAGATTATTTCTTATCCATTATTTGATTTAGTGTATTAAAAGGACTACATAATTTCTAAAAAAAAAGAGTATTTATAAAATTACCCACCACATTCTTAACTTTGTACACAATTTTATTGCAACTGTTTTATTACCCTACAAAATACTGATTATTTGCACAAGAAAAGCGAATGGTCTGCTGGTATGGATTAGGACTCTTACATAGAAGTCAATAAAAAAAATGATTTTCTAAATAATAGTACTACTATAAGATAATTTTAATTAATGTTATCTTTATCCGTTATGATTTAACATTTTCTTATGAGTTATGTATTGAAGAAGAATACATCTTCACTATATTTCATTAATGTTACCTGTTATAGATAGTATTTGAAATAGGTTTTGAGAGATTTGAGGGTAATTATGTTTTAATTATATTTATGCAAGTGTTAAAAACTTTTGCATTGTTAATATTATGGTTTGTTATGTATTAATTATATAGCATAATACCAAATGGGATACATAATATAAGTATTAATTATATATAAATTAAGAAAATATCAAATAAAAAATTAGTGCACAAAACTAATTCTTGCATTATTTTTTCTAATACCTGGTGCCAAACGATCCCCAATTGTTCACCGTACCTCCCAAGTCCAATTCGGAAAGAAAGAGAAAAAGAGTTACATACAAGTAAAAGAAAGAGAATTTAAAATGATTTAGGAAAAAGAAAAAAAAAAAAGAATACAGACAAAAATCTGCCCTTATTAATTCACACAGCTCTATCAAAGGTTTAATTACTGTGCACGCCAACTACGATTCCCAGCTCCATTTCCCCATCTCCTTCGCCGGCGAACTCTCGGCGATCTTTTCCTTCAGCAAAATCTCTGTGTAAGTATTTTTTTATTGGTCTTTTTATTATGCTCTCTCCCTCGTTTTACTTCATCCTCTTTATGAAGTGAAAAAAACCCTAACCCCTTTTCGCCAGCAAGTTAAAAAAAATACGAACTTTGATGTTGGTTTTACAATGCCTTTGTGAATTGTGTCTGTTCATACTACATATGTGTTTTGCAATATTGGAATTAAGATCAGTCATAAGGTCCAGTAATTGCCGTAGTCTTTTTTAGTTTGTTTAGAGATCTGTATGTCCTTAGAGAATGTAGAGAGAAAAACCCGTTAGTGTTGGAGTAATTTTACTGAGCGTGAATGAAAGATATTGAGGATTCATAAGGCGGACTCCAACTGGTTTAGGGGTGAGGAGTTATTGTTGTTTTAATTACCCCTGCCCCGATAGGGCAGAGATGCTGTTTCCGAAGTTGTTTTAATTAGTAGAGTAATTTTATCGAGTGTGAATGGAATGGATATTGAGGATTCATAAGGCCAACTCCAACAGTTTAGGATTGAGGCGTTATTGTTGTTTTTTCGGATGACGGTGGTGTCTGAGCACACCAACTTGCCCGTACCTCGACTATTACACCAGGCACCTGCTACGTCCCACCAGCACATGTACTAACTCCGCCTACCAATTCTTAGGTAGATGAGAGGAAATCACCTAGTGTAAGGGACTTGAGCCTGAGGCCATATGGTTCTCCTCCAACATTATTGACCACTAGGCCACAACCTTATATGCGGAAGAGTCATACATGCCCTCACCATTAATCACACAGATGCCACGTATAATAAATCCATAACCATGGCAACCACCTAGAGCAAATTACCTTTCCTTCTTGAGCGAATGAGACTAGTCTGAGCGGATAAACTGGAGTTATTATCTCATTTGGGGTTTGGGGGGGGGGGGGGTGTTGCTCAATCTTATTCCTGGCAAGTTCAGATGGATGTTTATGTATTATGCCTATAATCTTTCTCCTTCTGTCCATCAGTGTGTGTGTTGAGTATTGGTGAAGAAATGGAGGCGTCTTCTAGAGTTTTAGTTATAACTCTAGGGATTGCGTGATACCATCTGAAAAGGAAATCTAATCGGTGCCATTTGAAAAGGATCTTTACATGTGAAATTTTATATGAATAAATGGGGGTCTTGTGTTGATCTCATGAATCTTGGTCTCTGTTTTGCTCTTATTTTATTCAGCTTTACTTCTCACATATTGCTTTAATATTTCAATGCATTTGGTGGAAATTGGCTGTAATAGACCATGGTAGTCACTTGTCACCAATGGTGACTCACCATTCTGAGTTTTCAAGAACGCTGAGCTGAGGATGGTGTTGTTATATTGCTTTCTAAATGTGTTGGTGTCGGAGCTTTTAAAGTTTCATGCTGGTTTTACATCCGTATCCATTGCTTTGTTGGGATTTTGTTTCACAAAAATATTTGTACTGTTTTCATCCCAGCTCAATGGATTGTCTCTCTAAAATTTCAATTTCTCCATTAGATTAGCTAACTTTCTTATTAATACCGGTTCTTAGGACAACTAAATTGCGAAGGTGTAAGTACTTGGACGGAAATTGAGGACAAGGGTCCATTTGGAATGCTGCTTACTCTTTCCAAGTTTAAGTGTCTCCTTCTTTATTCTTTTGCTTAGGGCATCTCCAACCTTTACCCCATTTTTGGTTTCCAAAATGGGGATTTCCCCATTTTGGGGACAACTTACTCCAACCATTCCCCATTTTTTCCCCAAACTTTTTTATATTCTTCTCTCTCTTCTATATTATATTATTATCTTTCATTTCAATTTTATTTTTTAATTTCCATTAAACAAATTCCATCTTTTATTTTTATTAATTTGTAATTTCCATTAAAACAATTCCATAAAATTTTAAATAATATATTTTGTAAGCAATTATTATAGATTAACTAATAATTCAAATAAAAGTGAAATCATTGCGATACAAGATTAATTAATTACATATTACATAACGATAAAATTCATTCGAAAATACTACATAAATATTCAACTTCAACCTATAGTATTCTCCCATAAATGATCTATTAATGCATTACGAAGTGCAAAATGAGCATCTTTGTCCTTAATTCTTCTAGGTCGAGCTAAAAATTCTTGAAATCGTTGATTTTCATCTACTGCCATTTCTACTGTTGGAGTTGGACCTTCCAAATCATCTTGAATTGGTGCATTAAGATCACGCTCATTCTCGATTATCATGTTGTGCAGTATAATACATGTAGTTATTATATCATGTAGCACTTCTTTCTGCCAAAAATGCGAGAGTCCTGCAACAATTGCAAAACGTTGTTGCAAAACTCCGAATGCACGTTCAACATCTTTTCGGCATGATTCTTGTTTCATCGCAAAATATTTCTTCTTTGCCGAACGTGGCTCACGAATAGTTTGCACAAGGGTTGACCATTTTGGATATATACTGTCAGCTAAATAATAACCCATATTATATTCTTGTCCTTGAATAACATAATGGGCGGGAGGAAAAAGTAAGAGTAAAAGAAATGTAAGAAGAAAATAAAATTTTAATGATGGATGTGGATTCTATTGTCGATCCGACTCGTCGTGAATTTATGCGACAAGAACAACAACGAATAATGTATAAAAGAAGTCAAGAATATCCACAGTCACAACCACAACAATGCTCAGCCCCATTTAGTCAATACTATAATGATTTTGGTGTACCTGGAAACGACATAACTCCCTACTAAGTTATTATGCTATTTACCGTAGTTTCAATTTTTATGTATTTTAATTTAATGTATTTTCATTTAATGTGTTTTCAATCTTCACTTCTCAATTTTAGCAACATCTAATATTTTATATTCGCACCTTTCAATTTTAGCAACATCTAATATTTTATATTTGCACCATTCATTTTTTGAGATAATTATATATTTTTTGTACAATTATAACTTATAATAAAATTAGCTAACAATTTTTACATAAAAATAATAAATGCACGAAAATTAATTTATCAAAATTATACACCAAAGTTAAGATGTAAAAGTAATATTATAAAGACATTACATAAACATAATTAGGTATATATAAAGAGATAAATTAAAAGATTAAATAATAAAATAATAATAAAAAGGTGATGAATAGTAACGGGGGAGATGAATAGTGTACCCCCATATTTGAGGGAACACTATTCATCCCCCATTTTGGGGAAAAAAATGGGGGAGGGTTGGAGCTAAATTACCCCAAAAATTGCCCCCATTATGGGGATTGGGGGTAAGGTTGGAGATGGCCTTAGGGACATAGAAATGAGTTGCTTTCGTTTTTAGCTAAATTAGTACGTTTACTTTAGGTCCTATGCTTTCTAGGAGTCTTTTAGTCCTGTTAGAGATTCTTATGCCAGTAGGAAATATAGAGAACCTTTAGTACTTTTCATTTTTGTTTTTATTTTGTAAAATATGCTTGAGATGAATTTAACAGTAAGTGAGGATTCATATAGCTGAGCGCAAATTGTTTGGCACGGAGGCGCAGTTGTTGTTGTAGTTACTCTAAGTCATACTGAGAGTATGTCTCTATGAATCAGGGGGCCTTCACCAACTGATCAGTAAAAGAATCAAGGGGCCTCACCGGTTCAAAAGTCCCTTATTTTGAAGCATAAGTGAATCTTTTGATTCAATATCAAACTTCCTGAATTGTTGTCAGTGTAAAATTTTGGTTCATTTGCTTCCTTGACCTTACTCCTCACCTACTCCCAAAAAGAACAAAGGTAGAAAACGTAACAATTTGTTTGTGAGTTTGTCTAAGACTTTAGCAGCAGGTGAAGACTTAGCTCATTCGCAATTGTTCAGGTGGTTTTGCCTACTTGCTTGGATGGGCGTGCGGGTGGGTGTTCTTGTCTGTTGTTTTCGCAAAATAGGAATATGAGCTGCCTCATATTATGTAAGAGTAAGACATATATAGCCAAATCAGTTTTGAACTAAAACTCGCCGAGGAGAACGTGCTTACGGCATGATAATTTAGGGTTCTCAATTGAAAAATTGACTGAAGAGCCATTTTGGGACTAAAAATAATCCCACATCGGGGTAGGGGTAAGGTCTGCGTACACTCTACTCTCCCCGGACCCCACTAGTGGGATTTTACTGGGTATGTTGTTGTTGTTGTTGTTGTTGTCGGTATTCAAAAGATTAGTTGTGATACACCTTCTTGTCTGATCCTTCAAGTGAAAATAGAGGAGGATCATTTGAAAGTGAGGTTAAATTGCTTGTAATTGTGCCTGATAATTTCATCAATCACTTGTAAAGTTCATCTTCTAAGGAGTATTTTATTTTGATATTCTCACAGGGTTGATATTTGTAGTTTTGACATAGTACTCTTTTGCAGTTGTTTACATATTGGAGAATTGTGCTTTCTATGTCAATTAGCTGGCATAGCTTAATGCAGTTTCTTCATTTTAACTACTCTTACATCTTTAGCTACTAAGTGCGAAATTGAGTCTATGTAAAGACAACTTGACAAAGTGTTCCACATGCTGCCTCTGTGCTTGTATATATCTAATTTCCTTGTTGACTAAAAATGCAGGACTTAAAATTCTGCTAGCTGTAACCATGTCGTCTTCGTATTTACCTGCAACCGCAGATTCACTAGCACAGGCTTCTGAGGCTAAAACGCCATCTGAGGCTATCTCCATTCTCTACCACATCCTTGAGAATCCTTCATCATCTTCCGAGGCCCTAAGGATCAAAGAGCAGGCAATTTTCAATCTGTGTGACCTCCTAAGTCAGGAGAATAGGGCTGAGGATCTCAAAAACCTTCTCAGCCAGTTGCGTCCCTTCTTCTCTTTAATACCCAAGGCGAAAACAGCCAAAATTGTTAATAAAGGAATTGTTGACGCAATGGCTAAAATACCGGGTACATCTGACCTTCAAATTACTTTTTGCAAAGAGATAGTGCAGTGGACCCATGCGGAGAAACGAACTTTCCTTCGTCAGCGGATTGAGTCAAAACTTGCAGCTCTTCTGATGGAAAACAAAGAGTATTCTGAAGCTTTGACACTCCTTTCAGGACTGATCAAGGAGGTGAGAAGATTGGATGACAAGCTGCTTCTTCTGGAGATTGACTTGACGGAGAGCAAGCTCCACTATTCTTTGAGAAATCTTCCCAAAGCCAAGGCTGCACTTACAGCTGCTAGAACAGCAGCCAATGCTATTTATGTCCCTCCAGATCAGCAAGGTGACATTGATTTGCAGAGTGGGATACTTCATGCAGAAGAGAAAGATTATAAAACTGCTTACAGCTATTTCTATGAGGCATTTGAGGCTTTTAATGCCCTTGCTACCAACGATTCCAAGGACGCTTCATCAAAAAAAGATCCGAAGGCCAAGGCCAAGTACGTAGCCAAGGCCATATACAGCCTCAAGTATATGTTGCTATGCAAAGTCATGGTCAACCAGGCTGATGATGTTGCAGGAATAATATCTTCACGTGGACTGAATTATCAGGGGCCAGAACTTGATGCTATGAAAGCTGTTGCCGATGCTCACTCCAAGCGATCTTTGCAGCTCTTTGAGATTGCTCTTCAGAACTTTAAGGCTCAGCTTGATGAAGATCCTATCGTCCATAGGCACCTCTCTTCGCTCTACGACACTTTAATGGAGCAGAATCTTTGCAAGTTGATTGAGCCTTTCTCAAGGGTTGAGATTGCTCATATTGCTGAGTTGATTGAATTGCCAGCTGACCATGTCGAGAAGAAGTTATCTCAAATGATATTGGATAAGAAGTTCGCTGGGACTCTGGACCAGGGTGCTGGATGCCTTGTAATTTTTGAGGACCCTAAGCAAGATGCAATTTACCCGGCTTCATTGGATACCGTTTCAAATATGGGGAAGGTTGTTGACAGTCTCTTTATGAGATCTTCAAAGATAATGGCTTGAGTTTCAGATCCTTCATCTTAAGACTTGTATTTCTTGAGCTGCAGGCAGTATCTATTTTCAGCAGCTGCTCCATTTCTAGTGTTTTATGCTTCCTTTCCCAATACATTCTGAACTTAGTTTAAACCTTACATGGCTGGACAGGAGCTAACTCAACTTTATTCCTTTAGATGTTTTACGACTGTATCAGTGCCATGAGATGTTTGGACCATTTAATTGCAAGCTTTATTTCTTATGATGATTGTTTCTTTGTTTTTTATCTATCGGAAACGGCCTCTCTGCCTTTTCAGGGATAGGGGTGAGGCTGCGTACATCTTACCCTCTCCAGACCCCACCTGGGGAAACTACTGGGTTTGTTGTTGTTGTTAATCATACTAATTTTATTCCTTCCATTGCAAATTCACCGAATGATACCTATACATTTAAACAGAGGGCTATTTAATCTCTTTTTCTTTTTTAGTTCTTTCTCTCTTTTTCTCTGCTATTTTAATCTGATTGTAATAAGTTGTTCTTTCTTTTTCTTGCTTTTGTCCCCTTGCTTCAGAATCATTTGAAGCTCCTTTCCTTTTCTTTGGTAACCCCTTTTGTGCCCATTCCTTTATCTTCATTCATACATATTCACAACAATCGAGAGTTTTGTTCATTTGTGAAAAAATGATAAGGAGTTTGACAGTTTGTGAAAATTTTCCATATCTATAACAAATCTAGCCGTTAAAACAAGAAAAGGAAAAAAAAAAAAAAAAAACTCCATAAGTAGATAGTTTTTTTTTCGTTTCAAACTATTAATATAATTTATATTTTGGGGGCATCTAGTGGCCATCTTCTTGTTGTCAATCATTGATATTTTGTATCCTCTATTACTCTATGAGATTGGATTGTCAAGTTTGATCCATTTTCATTCTTCTTTTCATGAATTTTTCAGCCAAACACTATTAAGTAAACAAATAGAGAAGTTTACTTGTTAGATTAAAAATTGGTTTAACTTATATATATTGGCAATATAGTTTTATTTTTATATTATCAATATATTTTATTATGTCGTAAGCTTGTCGTTGACCTCATAAATGTTCTTCTCAAATTCTAGTGTATGATATGTCGAATTTATTGATGACTTCACCATAATCGATTAAGTAAAAGGATTTTACAAAATTTGATAGTCTGTAAAAAATATTTAACACAAAGTTAAAATACTTTAGAATTAAAATTCTAATTTTGCCCTTATCAAAAGGTGCAAATGATGATTCTCACGTGTATAGACTTATTGCCTATGAATAAACATCTTATGGTTCTGCCTTAGAAAAAAGAGTATAAGTCTTATGTATCTATTGTGCAAAAAAAATTTGCTGTTTTACATCACCAAAGGGTGCCTTCGCGTAACTGGTAAAATTATTCCCATGTTACCAAGAGATTACGGATTAAAGCCGTGGAAACAGTCTCTTACAGAAATGCAAGATAAGGATGTGTACAATAAACCCTTGTGACCGGCCTTTTCCCCAAGCCCGTGCATAGCGGGAAATAAGTGCATGAGGCATTAGACATCACTTAAAACATAATTGT